GATTTGTATAGTTATGCTAGGCTACTTTAAATTTTTTTTTACATAATTTGTATCAACAAATGATAACTCATAATATAGATCATACTTTATTAACTAATAAAATTACAAACGAATAAGATGTTTTATTTTTAACTAGTTCTGGAAATGGCGGGAGAATGTCACGTGATTGCCACTGTTGACAGGTCAAGAAGCTATCGCTTTGATGTATCATTCATTACAGCGTGAACAATTCCATCTATTATAGACATGTGCCGATCACTTTAGGGAATTATATTGTAATCAACATTTAAAATATGACAAATATCAACATAGATTATCATGCCATTCAAGACATTAAATGTGTAATACAGAGGCTGTGGAGCGGTTCCCGAAGTGGGGGGGGGGGGCTGATAATTGAGGGACGAAGTCATGAAAACGAAGCGCTGCTCAGCGTGTTGCTGCAGGCGGCGGAAACTTCAGGTGTGGGGTTTGGGGCCCGCTTTAGGACCTCAAGAAAATTTTGATGTGATTTTTATACTGTCATAGCCCCCATCCATCCGGCGACCACAAGCAATTGTGGACGCTCTAGAGGCTAAAGTTAATATCCGATTGACGAAGAAGCCTATTGATTTTCAGCGATTTCCGATAATTACTGCCAGAGTTATGGCCCTTGATCACTTCAAAATATCTTGTGGACGCGCTTGAGGCCAAAGTTAACATCCGATTGACTTTAAATTTATACACCGTGTTTAAGGTCATGAACCGAAGAAGCCTATTGATTTTCAACAATTTCGAATAATTGCTGCCAGAGTTATGGCCCTTGATCACTTTAAAATATTTTGTGGGTGCTCTAGAGGCTAAAGATAATATCCGATTGACTTTAAATTTATACACAGTGTTTAAGGTCATAAAACGAAGAAGCCTATTGATTTTCAGAGATTTCGGATAATTACTGTCAGTGTTATAAAAACCAAACAAATTCTAATGATTTTCTGATAATTACTTAATGAGTTGTTACTCTTAATCAGATTTTAGTGTATTATAAATGTTTCATTACCGAAAAAATGTAAAAACATGCTACAACTTTTGTTGACTGCCCGGACGATTTTGCTGCTGTGGGTGTATGTTTTGTTGCCTGGCAACCTATCTTTTTAATTTTGAGTGACATTAAATAACATATACGGAAACGTCACCGAGATCAACCTGGGACACTATAAGCCAGCATACCATAAGGAAATCAAGCTCGCACAGTATAAGAAATTCGGTTGACGACCATGACTGCAACAAAATCTCATGATTGGTATACACAGTGACACATACCACACTCAAACAGGTCACTTAATAGGGGTTAGTACCATCCAAATGATCTTTTCTCAGGTTATGAAAATACAAATGTGCCAGAAAAAATTATTTACATACTTACAATAGAAATGAACGTGCTTTCACTGATATGTAAGAAAGTCAAAACATAATTATTTCTATGTCTTTTGCTCACTAGGTTGTCAACTCACTATTATCCGATCATAGGTTATCTTTCTCACACTTAAAAATCTTAACACCGGATATAATAATACAATTACCTCCCAATTACCTCCCTTTTTTTCCTATTCCCCACCATGGAATAGCTATCTTCAAACGTTTGAATTTGAAGTTGAAATTGATATTTTTGCCAATTTCTCAACTGGCAATAGTGAATTACAGGATTATTCTTTAACAAGGTAGGGCTGTTTATAGATACCATCTATTTTAGGGCTTTATTTTAATACATTTTAAAAATATAACTTAAAAATATGAAATTGTGAAATTGTGAGACGAAGAAGCACGGTGATTTTCAATGATATCCGATAATTACTACCAGAGTTATGGCCCTTGATTGTTGGAATAATCTCATTTTTAGCTCGCTACAAGACACAATTTGTATTCAATTTTAAAGATACTTTCCAAGAAAAGTATTTATCGGGTGGTTATTTCAAATAAAAGTATATCAAATTTGGTATATATGGAAAGTATAGACACCCAATCTTACTAGAAAAATACTAGATTAAACGAAAAACGCCCATGGGGCAAGCACTGGGCAAAATTGTTTGGGTATCACTAACTGGCAACCCGACTGTTAGGCCGCGGTTAATTAATTGTCAGTTTTTCATGACCTAAGTTTGTGAAATATACATGCTACATGCGGTAATTATTAATTATTGAGATGAAATTTAATTTTTTTAGCTTAATGCTGTTTCTATTTCAGCAATAACTAATGTCAGTTACTTGGTCAGTTAGTGATACGCTTCTAGGTTACGAAATGACCTGTTCGAAACTGGTTGATGATTTGTTCTGACATAAAAATATTAAAAGCATACCCTTGGATTTTTAAATACAAAATAATTTAGATTATTTAACAGGTCAGTTAAAGAATTTACTACACCCGTGGTTGTTTCTCTAGCCGTGAAGGAAGATAGTACCAATGCTATGGCAATAGCCTGTATGTTTACGCTTCAACTTTGAACCCATCATCGGCACATGGCATCATAATAATATAAATACTTTTATTATTTTGTCTATTTTAATCAAACTGTTTACATTTATTTGTATCTTTGTGTCCTTTTGTGTACATTTAGCAAGTGTTGTAGCTACCATTCCTTGGTATAGATGATTGATATGATACGGCTTTATCACTTCCGGTTTTACGGATGGACTCTGTGTATTTTTTCCCATTCTAGCCTACTTTACATATCACCTACAGTGTCATGTTCATCGATAAATAGTGGAGTTTAATGCATTAATTCATTGTTTATATTTAAAGGCAAACAAATATAGTTTTAAAGGACTTAAATTTTGGACCTCACTAAATTTGACCAAATAATTATGGACGTGCGTAATTATTACGGTTGAAAACGGACATGCAGGTGGGTCATGAGAAACAAACGATTAATTAACCGCAGCCTTATCTGCCAGCTTATTGTGTGCCAGCTTCAGTGAGGGAGCAGTTGTTATTTCTTGCTCAAATGGTTAGGTGGTTTTGGGAACATTGAGGGGTGTCAATGTACAAAAGACTCTGCAATTAAACGGCGGAAAAAGAAATTGACAGAAATAATTAAGAATTTACTTAGGCCTCAATATGTATGGTAAATAAACAGTAAGTAATGATAAATACATTCTGAAAAATTGACCCTCCCACAATGAAGCTAAGTTGACAGACATTGCGTCTAACAACAGCTTACTTATAGCTATAGGTATCCCCGGTGAATACAAAGTTTTGAGAGGGAATTGAAGCAAATTTTTGATTGATTGGTTACTTTGAATATGTTTTTAGTCCATATATATCATCAAATAACAAAGTTTGTACGCGGGAATTATCTTTAAAAATCGTTTAAATATATTACCTTCACACATCAGTGAATGTTGAGTTCAAATTTCGTAAAAATCTGACCCAAACTGCCGGACAAAATACCAAAGTTGTAGACATCTTGTACGCAAATACAGTAGAACTTGCTCAGGCGTGCACTCCTAATCAGCGAACACTTGCTTCAACGGGCACCAAAAAATCCCCCAGAGCGATTTTTAAGTAATTTAACCCCTACTAAACACGCACCTGTTCAACGCGTGCAAGCGAGTACATCATAGTGAATCTCGGAGAATCACGTTCTCGCTAGAGCGAACGAGACTGAAATGTCACTAATCTTGACACGATTTACTCGCTTGGCTTGAACTAACTATCACTAATTAACAAGTTTACTCACACCCCAAGCTGATAATTTTAACCATTAATCAATATTCTATTCATATCCAAACCAATGATGATATATAAGAAAGAGTCTGAATTGATAAGACATTGTTTATCAATATGTCTTATATTACTACGCCTCGTAAAGTTCTTCCACCTACTTGAAAAGTTTTGACACTTAATGTGTCAAAGTGATACAGTTATCAAATGAAAGTAAAAGTGGTTGCGTAATCGCTAAAATAGTTGGGGTGGGAAATACTCAAATTCACGGCATTTTGGTAGGGGTTGGGGCAGTATTGGATACCTCTAGTCAAAGAGTACCTCCATTAAGCAAGCATTTTTAAATTTCCTTTGGGTGCTTGCTTAATACAAGTTCTACTGTAGTGTAAAAGTATGTAATACCAAGGTTGTGGACACTTTAGAAGTCACAATTTTTATCCAATTTTAATGAAACTTGGAATATATGTTTATAATCCAAAGATCGTGGTTCCTTTTGATATCGGACTGTAACTTCCTGGATTATGGCCCCTGATTGTACGAAATATAACGTTTTTAGCTTGTGGACCCTCTGGAGCAGAGGTCACAGTTTTTATCTAATTTTAAAAACATTTAAATTTGTCACCGTAATGAGGGTTGAGTTCCAATTTTGTGAAAATTGGACCACAAACTGCGTAAAATTATGTGATACCATTGTGGACCTTATAGAAGTCATAATTGTAACCCGATTTTGATGAAACTTAAAATATATGTTTATGTCCCAAAGATCTTGATTCCAATCGCTATTTGCGCATATCAGACCATCACTTCCTGGATTTCAGCCTGTGATTGTATGAAAAAACGTGCTTTTTGGTTTGTGGATTCTCTAGAGGTCACAATGTGGGCGTATCTTGCCTAGTAACGGCAGGTTACCGACTCTTTATCAAATTTCAACTGTCATGGATTTTTTTTATATGCACATCAACATATACACAGGATCTCATTATTTTTTTCCATCCGGCTGACTAGACACTATTCCTTCTCAGGCCCTCTGTCCTCCACCATAACGACGGGAAACCACACGGAAAAATCATGAGAATCTTTCTTGGCTAACACCAATTATTTATTGTCAATTTTATCATTAAATACTGCACAAAATGCAGAATAAACAGCATCATTAAATTTCTTGTAAAAAAACCTGATTATTATTGGTTTCCTATAATGGATACACAAACAATCTAACAAATTTTCTCTTTTTGCATATATAGATTTCTCTCTGAGATATATTATATGTAAATGTAATCATATTTTTATTTTCATTGTTCAGATGGAAATGGAGACAGAGGATAAGAATTACTATGTCTGGTCAACATGATAATGAAGAACCTATAGAGTTACATGATCAACAATTAAAGTTTCCAGAACATCGTTTCTCAGAACATATAGGAGAAAATGAAGAAATGCGCTATCCTGTAATTATTTCTCAGAATAACAGAAGAGAGAGAGTTTTACCGGTTCTTGCCCTAAATGAAGTTTTTATAGGTGAATCATTATCTTCAAGGTAAACCTTTCATCTTATTCATAACATGTGTAAACAAAAACAGACACAATTCTCAGACCACCATTCATAGAATATCATGCAGGAGGGAGATATCTATCTTATCACAAATATCAAAATTCAAAGTTTTACATCTATCTCACAACTTAGCATTTCAATGAGATAAAACTTGTTCAAACTTGGTGAATCTCTTGAATGAGTTTGATGATGAGCATTTTCTGCTCAGACTCAGGAGAAATAAGCAATATTATTTGTTAATGCTTTGTAATACAGATTGAGTATTAATGTTCAAACTTAGTGCAGATGTTCATTATGTGAATGTCTTGGTTGAATTTCAGATTAGTGTTACATGTCTAACTGGTCTTCATTAAGAGGATGTTTATAACCAAAAACAGGGATATACATTATAACTTCGTTAATTATCTGTTAATTAATCTTTTGTTTTATTAAACGACTAACCTGATCTTTGTTTTCACACGTAACAAAACATTATTTGATACTGATTGAATAAACTAAAAGTACCGACGAAGCCGCAAGTTTTGTCACGATCATCTAGTATCTCTTTTCCATTGCCACTTTGTTGTTAAACAGACGTTTTAGCGCCTCCTATAATATTACATACAGAGTTACACCCCCTGTAAATCGTTGACAAAATCAGCGATGTTTTTATTTGTTCATGTGCTTTTTATACGCCCACATTGAAATGTCATATATTGTCGTCGCCTCCGTCCGTCCATCCGGCGTCCACAATTGCTTGTGGACGCTGTAGAGGCTAAAGTTAATGTCCGATTGACTTTAAATTTATATACAGTGTTTAAGGCCTTGAGAAAAAGAAGAAGCCTATTGATTTTCAGCGATTTCCGATAATTACTGTCAGAGTTATGGCCCTTGATCACTTCAAAAAATCTTGTGGACGCTCTAGAGGCCAAAGTTAATATCTGATTGACTTTAAATTTATACACAGTGTTTAAGGTCATGAGACGAAGAAGCCTATTGATTTTCAGCGATTTCCGATAATTACTGCCAGAGTTATGGCCCTTGATCACTTCAAAAAATCTTGTGGACGCTCAAGAGGCCAAAGTTAATATCTGATTGACTTTAAATTTATACACAGTGTTTAAGGTCATGAGACGAAGAAGCCTATTGATTTTCAGCGATTTCCGATAATTACTGCCAGAGTTATGGCCCTTGATCACTTCAAAAAATCTTGTGGACGCTCTAGAGGCCAAAGTTAATATCCGATTGACTTTAAATTTATACACAGTGTTTAAGGTCATGAGACGAAGAAGCCTATTGATTTTCAGCGATTTCCGATAATTACTGTCAGAGTTATGGCCCTTGATCACTTCAAAAAATCTTGTGGACGCTCTAGAGGCCAAAGTTAATATCTGATTGACTTTAAATTTATACACAGTGTTTAAGGTCATGAGACGAAGAAGCCTATTGATTTTCAGCGATTTCCGATAATTACTGCCAGAGTTATGGCCCTTGATCACTTCAAAAAATCTTGTGGACGCTCAAGAGGCCAAAGTTAATATCTGATTGACTTTAAATTTATACACAGTGTTTAAGGTCATGAGACGAAGAAGCCTATTGATTTTCAGCGATTTCCGATAATTACTGCCAGAGTTATGGCCCTTGATCACTTCAAAAAATCTTGTGGACGCTCTAGAGGCCAAAGTTAATATCCGATTGACTTTAAATTTATACACAGTGTTTAAGGTCATGAGACGAAGAAGCCTATTGATTTTCAGCGATTTCCGATAATTACTGTCAGAGTTATGGCCCTTGATCACTTCAAAAAATCTTGTGGACGCTCTAGAGGCCAAAGTTAATATCTGATTGACTTTAAATTTATACACAGTGTTTAAGGTCATGAGACGAAGAAGCCTATTGATTTTCAGCGATTTCCGATAATTACTGCCAGAGTTATGGCCCTTGATCACTTCAAAAAATCTTGTGGACGCTCAAGAGGCCAAAGTTAATATCTGATTGACTTTAAATTTATACACAGTGTTTAAGGTCATGAGACGAAGAAGCCTATTGATTTTCAGCGATTTCCGATAATTACTGCCAGAGTTATGGCCCTTGATCACTTCAAAAAATCTTGTGGACGCTCTAGAGGCCAAAGTTAATATCTGATTGACTTTAAATTTATACACAGTGTTTAAGGTCATGAGACGAAGAAGCCTATTGATTTTCAGCGATTTCCGATAATTACTGCCAGAGTTATGGCCCTTGATCACTTCAAAAAATCTTGTGGACGCTCTAGAGGCCAAAGTTAATATCCGATTGACTTTAAATTTATACACAGTGTTTAAGGTCATGAGACGAAGAAGCCTATTGATTTTCAACGATTTCCGATAATTACAGCCAGAGTTATGGCCCTTGATCACTTCAAAAAATCTTGTGGACGCTCTAGAGGCCAAAGTTAATATCCGATTGACTTTAAATTTATACACAGTGTTTAAGGTCATGAGACGAAGAAGCCTATTGATTTTCAGCGATTTCCGATAATTACTGCCAAAGTTATGGCCCTTGATCACTTTGAAAAATCTTGTGGGCGCTCTAGAGGCCTAAGTTAATATCCTATTGACTTCAGATTGATACACAGGCGAACAAGTATATTGATTTTCAATTAATTTTTATGACTTGAAACAGCTAAATCCATGATACAGTATTAAAAGTTTTGTATACAAAACGTTAGCATGGGGCAGAACTTTATAAAAACCAAACAAATTCTAATTGTTTTTTGAGTTGTTGCTCTTAATCAGATTTTAGTGTATTATAAATGTTTCATTACCGAAAAAAGTAAAAATATGCGACAACTCTTGTTGACTGCCCGGACGATTTAGCTGCTGTGGGCGTATGTTTCGTTGCCTGGCAACCTATCTTTTGATAAAATAAAATTAATTCATCGATTTTCTTCACAAAAATGGATAAATATTATCGAATGCATCACAATGATAGAAAGTAGGTATCGAAGGTTGGTACAAAATGACAAGTTATGTCCAAGATTTGAGTAATGAATTTTTGTTCCAAGCAAGTTTCAGCGGCGGCCAAATTTACCGATGCAAGTATTGGTATTTGCTCCCGATGCATCCAAGCGTAAAATGTACTTGATGTCAGCACAAAAAAACACCGAGATTTTATTAAGAGACCACTCCCGTTAAGTGGTCAGTCGTGAAAATTTCCTTGGGTGGCTGCTTAATGCAGATTCTACTGTACATTAAATACAAATAAATAAGTTTTGAATTATCAAAGTGGATTTCCAAGTGCAAAAGCGTATTCCCGAAGACATTCACCAGAAGGATTGACGTGCAAATTTTCATTCTGATAAGCACGTAACATGGATAGTACTAGTAGTACCGTAATGCTGTAGGCTATTACCTTTTTTCAGCGGAATTCCATTAACGTATTATATGCTGTGAATCACAATTATTAAAAGTTTTACTTTGTCATTTATTATCGGTATGGTAAGATTTAGACAAAAAAATGGTCGTTCTACATGACATGCATTGGTTGGTGCAGAAAAGTGTGATGTGGAACCTCATTCCCCCATCCCCCTCCCCGTAGCAGTTATCTGGAAATGTTGAAAAGGAAAGATTGTCCCTTATCTACCATAAAAACATGTGATTCAGAGCAATGTTGCTTTAAATTACTTTAATTGTTTATGTAACAATTGTTAATCAGCTAAAGTTGGCTCTTATTCAATAAAACACATGTACTCTGTCAACCATATTTATTTCACACTAACCCGGACTCCTTCAGTGAAGAGTTCCACTTCCGGTATAAACAAAGTGAAAGTAAAGTGATAAAGGTAAAATGAAAGTATAATTATAAAAAGGTGAAATAAAGAACATTAACAACAATGAGCAATTACAAGTGGTGTCTTTTCTCAATACATCACAGGATACATGTGAGTGTAACTAAGGAGAAGGGTTCCTTTCAAGTGATATGTTTTCAAAAAGTCCCATGTGTTGCTGTAAGCACAGTTGTATAACATTCAAAATATTTACTAACTGTAATATAGGGCTGAGCAAAGAAAAAAACTAACAATTTCAAGACAAAAAAACCCTTTTAAACATGCATTATGCAAGAGCTAAATCTGCAAATGTTCTCTAAATTTTTAACTGGACATTATTTAACTTATTCAGACCATAATCAACTCTCAATGTCATCGTTAGCCTGCGATATTTACTAGATTTGAATGCATTTTGTGATGGATAATTTAAGGTAAAAATGGATAATCGAGACTTAGTTATCATACCAATGTCAGTAATAATGACCGAGGCTAGTCTAAAATTCAATGGCTAATATCTCAGTTCAGAGTTAAGCAATTTGACTGAAATTTTCAGCATATTTTGTTTGAATTATCTATTTTTATACGCCCACATTTTCATATGGACGTATATTGCCGTCGCCCCTGTCCGTCCGGACGTAGACGCTAGCTCGCTAGCCTGGAGGTCGGGTGTTCGATCCCTGCATTGGCCGAGAAAGTTCATCCAGATTTTCCGGCGTGGTTCTCCCTTGTCAGTGATGCAGGACGGAGGGGCTGACAAGGAAAGCTGTCTAGTCGTTCGGATGGTACGAAAAACCGAGGTCCCGTGTACACATTGGCGTGCACGTAAAAGATCCCTTGGCAGTTGGAATTCGATATAAGAGTAGGCCGTAGTGCCGCTGTCCGGGCAAAATTTCCCTCATAGCACACTGTATGGCGTATGCCCGTCTTCATTAGCCCAGGTTAGGAGGAGCAGAACAGTAGGACGTTAAACTCCATTTCATTTCATTTCATTTCATTTCCGTCCGGACGTACACAATTCTTATCAGATTTTGACGAAACTTGAAATGTAGGTTTATCTCAAAAAAGTCTCGGCTGCTTTCGATATTGGCAAGTATCGGATCGAAACTTCATGGATTATGTCCCCTGTTTGTACGAAAAATCACGTTTTTAGCTTGTGGACCCTATAGAGGTCACAATTTTTATCTGATTTTTGTTGAAA